AGTACATTGGCTTCCCTAGCACTACAAAAACTGAACCAAACCAAACCAAACAAAGCAAAAAGCATTGGCAAATAAAATTCTTTTTATTTTGATTATTTTGATGCTAAGCACATACTCTACCACTGAGAGACACCACCCGGATCTTTAAATTTATATTTTAATCTAAACAACAACAACAAAAACTGGCCTTCAAGCAACACTTAGTCTTTCTGCTTATCATTTTATGAGTGGGTGAAATGAATGAATGAATGAATGAATGAACAAACAAATGAAATTTTCTGGATGCAAGCTTCCTATAGCTACTCTAAATTTCAAAGGTTGGGGGAAGTTTATGCCTAATTAGTTCAGTTGCTATTTGGTGTAGGGACATGAAATTCAAAATCAAAAGCCAAGTTTTTACAGTTCTCTCTTTGAAAATGAAACCCAACCTCCTTTTACTTGGTGGCTCTAACAATATCAGGTTTCCTGGGCAACCCACAGGCCCTGAAAGCAGGGCTCTAACCACAATGTGGTGACATCCTCTCTTTGAGATGGGGGACATCCCAGAAAGGGAGGGCCACAGAGGCCACAGAGCGTTTCTGTGGTGGTTGGCTTGCTTAGCTTGGTAACCTCTTGTAAACACACTGTGCAGAAGATGGCAACAGCTTAGTTCCTTCTAACTTCTCCTCTCCCCATCCCACCTAGCTTAGCCCCAAATAGTAGAGGTTGGAGGAGATGCTAAGAACTCTGAATTATGGGTATTAAAGACTCAAATTCCTTTTAGCACCCGCTCCCTGACCCCAAGACTCCTATTACTGGATATAGGTGGCAGGGTGGGACTTACAGTTGAGTCTCTCTATAAGGTGACACCCCTCTCCTGGAGACCAGCTTGCATCCAAAATCTAGTCAACAGATTGTAGGGGAGACAGAAGAAAGGCCCAGCTGCCTGGTCACAAATAGGACCATCCAAAGGATCATTTCAGCTCCAGAGCACCCTGCAGGATAGGCTGAGGTCTATGGTGCAAACACATCACAATTCAACTCCTGCTTCAGTCTCTCTTGCTCCCGCACAAGGACTGATCTAGAAAGCACTCTCCAACAAACCTCCAGCATGCAAGTCTCTGTCTAGGAATCCTTTTCCTGGAGAAGCTCGTCTATGGCAGTCCCCTGCCTTGGCTTCTTTTCTCTTACTGCCCTACAATTACTCCAAATTCTTCCATGATCATCTCAAAGAATAACTCCCAAATCATTCCTGTTGCTATGGCTGCACTGTCAGTCTGCTCACTTGCATTTCCCAGAGCCCAGGGGACATCTTTACCTGGGTGTCTTTATTTTTTAGTCTCAAATTTAACATATTTAAGACAACTCTCTCTTAATACCCTAGCCCTCTCAACTCTTCTATTTCTGTTAATGCTATTGCCATCTCTGTAATCCGTCATCTTGGGCACCCTCCTGCTCAGAATCTCTCAGCATCTCCTCAGTGCTTACAGAATGCAAGTACATGCTTCCTCTCTTTGCATTCAAGGCCTTCCCTGTTGAACCCCACATCAGCCGGATTTCCTGCCAAACCTCTAAACCAGGATTTCTTAACAATTTTATTACTTGGATTCATTCAAGGGTCTAATGAAACCTATTGACCTCCTTCTCGAAATGTGTTTCTAAGCATAAATAAAACACAAAGGATTACAAAGAACATCAGTTAGATTTAAAGTTGTCTTTAAATTTGTGACATAGTAACATGTTTCATTATTAACACATTAGGTAACAGGATCTAGTGGCATGTCCAATAACTGTCACAATTTTGAAGAGTCGTGGGTAGAAAAGGATTTCAAGATACCTGCAGCAGCAGTAATGAGATATAAAAATATCTGTGGTTCCTATTGGAGAAAAAGTCACAGAACTGCTAATGCTACTGTGGAGCCCTGCCTGAGTTCATAATGGAAAGGAAAACTAAACTCTAATTAGAGGTTAGCAGAGATAAAGCCATTTTTTTTTCTCCCAATCCAAGTATACAAAATCCTGGCCAAGCACCTCTTTGCTATGGGCAATCTATACTGTAGCTCTGATTGGATATTTGTATTTCCCTAAATAAATATTATACATCCTATGCCCATTTTGATGGATGCTGGGAAACCAGCATTTTGGCATCTGGCCAAGTTGACCCCACTTTCCTTATAGATCTTTTGCCACAGGTTGTCCAGGTTTGGGGGCCCAGATCAGCAGATCTCACTAACTGCCTGCCCCAAGCAGAACACATTTGGGCCCAGAAGGTGTCTTCCTTGGCCTTTCTATCTTTGGTCCCAGGCCAAAGTGACTTTACTTATCTCCACTGACCAAATCAAGATTACCCAGGCATCAGGCCCATGACCATCCAGCTTTTTATGGAGCATCTAGTTGAAGCAGTCTCCTCCAAGAAGCCATTTGGAGCTATGGAGAAGCCACCACTCTGCTCAGTCTCTTCTCCTGATCCTTGGCAGTTGGGGAGTTGGGGATATTCTATCTCTCAGGCTCACAGGCTACTCTCTACCCTTATCTTGCTATGAAATGTAAAATATCCTGTAATTCATAGGACAGTCATATATAATGTAGGACTATCTTTTAAATTTTTTAATGTTTAATTTTAGTTGTAGTTGGATACAATACCTTTATTTTATTCATTTTATTTTTAGTTGTTGATGGACATTTATTTATTTATTTATTTTTATGTGGTGCTGAGGATCGAACCCAGCACCTCACACATGCTAGGCAAGCACTCTACCATGGAGCCACAACCCCAGCCCCTGTAGGACTGTCTTCTCAAATTGACAATGTGCCCTTGGTGGGAACACTGAGTAACAGACACTCTAGATGTTTGCTTAGTGCCTCAGCTGTCCTCGTTAGCTTGGGATGCTGGCACCCAAGTCAGGGCCAATTGGTGGGCATTTTTCTCAACCCCTCTCAGTCTTCTCTGGCCTGAAATCCCAATGACTTTTATAGCTAGCATTGGACTGAGTAGCAGATGTATAGGATGGGGAAGTGTCCCCCCCCACTACTGTGGCCACTATATCTATCAGTTCTGAATCTAAGCTTTGACAGACTTGAGCCTTTTCTAGGTCAAGAGGAGCTACCTGTACCTGCTACTGCCACCAGGGAGAGTAGTCACCTTGAGAGCCAAATGTTTTCAATTTCCTCCAAGTGCATGGTAGCCTGGGACCCTTGTAATTCGGCCCCCAACAAGGAAGGCCTGACCTGGGCAGCCTTTGCCTTGTAACCAGAATCAGGGAATGAGAACTCCCACCTGGGGCAGGAGAATGTGCTAACTCCTCCTGTGCTTTGGTGAAAAAGCCATTTTTAGGTAGGAGCAATCATGAGCCATCCTGCTGCTCACCTCCTTTGCTTTCTGTGAACTGGTCTAGTCTCCTAAAAATACCTGGTCCCTATTTCTCAGGTCAAAATGCTCCAGGAAATACCTATAGTCTGTAGTTAGTGGAGAAGCAGCTTCTTATGTTAGTTTCACCTGCATTCATATGAAAGGGATTAGTTGCTTATTGAAAAAAAATTATGTGACTTTCAAATTATATCTCCTAAGAATAATGAATACTTACTTAGGGCTAGTTATAACAGTACTTTAAACTCTATAAAGGCGCTTTTTATATTAGGTTGAGCCATATGAAATTGCTGGTATCCAATTACTTTGAGCAATTTCATAGGGTTCAACCTAATACATTTCCTCATTTATTCCTTGCCATACTCCTTGGTGGAAAATTTTAGCCCCATTTTACAGAGTAAAATACTAAATCATGGTGAGGTAAAATGACTTTTGATTAAGGTTATGTAAATAAGAAATAATGACTTTAGTTGAACTGAGCCCATTTGATGCCAACCTACATACCCTTGATTCTTAATGTAGGATGATTCAGCCTTCTAGATCCTAAACGCAATAATGTGAAGAGCGATAAAGCTGGGTGACCATTTTCTTAACCTAGCCTCAGGAATGGTTCTGGCTGGCTTTACTTGTGACTTTTTCTTAGTCCAGTGGAGATCAATGGGTGCATATATGCCTGCTGTAGAAAGTGATGAGGTAATAAGTTTTAGTTTTAGAGGTTTAGGAGTAAAGGCAGTATCCAGAGCATGTTAATCTATGCATTCAGGCATGCATGCATATATCCATCTAAGAGAACTCTACTGGCAAGCTCTCATGTACCTGCCAGGCTCTACACTAGATTTTTAGCTACCTACCAACATGCAGGGCAGTGTTTTAATCAGCAGGATTTCTGCCCCTTGGCCAGCTGGAAGGAGGGGGGCTAGAGCAGCAGAAGGTGGGGTGAGGCTGCCATGTGCATGAGATTTTGAGTAATTGTGAAACTGCTCTAACTTCTGAGCTCCAGCTTGATTCTTTGGGAGGCCACAACTTATATGACCAGGTAAAAGGAAGCCAGTTAGTTGTTGCCTGGGCTTCAGAAGTCTGGTACCACTGAGAATTTTTAGGCTGTAGGCTGGAGGAGGCAGCAGTAGGAATGAAAAAAGGAATGCTGGTGCCCCACCCTTAGGCACTGCGGAGGCAATGGGGGAAACTGCAGGTGGGGCTGCTGACAAAAGAGCTCTCCAAGGCTTCCACAAGAAGAAATTCATTTTTCTTGCAGCATAGCTGCTCCAAATCCCTGGCTGGTCTCTGGCTGCTCCACCAGCTCAGTTCTGGTAGCTGGCCAGATGTGGAGGGTGGGCTGGGGGACAGCTGGTTTGGAAATCATCAAGCAGTGGGCATGAGGCCACTGCTTTTGGTCAGAGACAGCATGTGGCCCTGCAGGGGATAATGACATTTCTCAGCTTCCTGCCAGCCCCCTGGGGGCCAAGCCCTCAAGCCTGCTGTGGAGTCCAAATGCTTCTCAAACTTGGCCTGGCTGGCTCAGCTCAGGGCAAAGCTGGCTGCCCTGTCTCCAGGGCTCTCCAGACACCTGCCTCCTCCCACACTGCCAGCACCCATCAGACGCCAAACCCCAAGATCAAATCCCCTCACAATATGCAATTATGCCCATGCTCACCATTCCAGGCTCTAGGCTGTGTCTCCATGGCTGTCACCACTGTTGCCCAGGACCACAGTGGCTGTGGAGCCGATCTAGTTAAGATCTCACAGTTGAGTAAGCTGTGATGTGGGTTCCTTCCACCACACCCTCCCCGACCAGGGCTTTCCTCAGAGCCTCATTGCCTCACTGCACTGCTTTTGAAAAAAAGGAAATGGGCATTGGGTCTTGAGTACAATGAGAAGTGCATGAAGAAGCTGTGAAAGAGGCACTTAGAAGGCAGAGAAAGCGGAATCTGTGACAGGCCTCAGATAATCATCTCCTGAACCTCCAGGCTCTTTCCTCATCTCTGTGGCCAGCAGAACTAGGGCCCACGGAGAGTTAGGGCCTTTTTTGTACTTGAGTTGGCTGTTCTGCTCTGCACCTACCAGCACATTATGTTTACTGGGGTCAACAAATCCACACACCTCAAGAGGCCTCAGGAGTTGCCCCGAATGGTGAAGTTGAGGTTTTTTGTTTTTTTTTAATCCTCAGCATCTGACCTCCTAATTCAACATGACTTCCTAATTCACCAACCATAGAGTCTCACAGTCCAGGTGACATTTTAAACTCAGCCTGCTCCACCTCCACTGTCCACTATAGTAGCCACCAGACACATGTGACTCTCAAGAACTTGAAATTGGCCATTCTGAATTGAAATGTGCTAGAAGTGTAAGATATATACCAGATTTCAATGACTTAACATGGACAAAGAACATAAGATATATCACTAATAATTTTTATTATTGAATATATGTGGAAATGTTTTATATATTGTATTAAATAAAATGCTATTAAAATTAAATCTCACCTCTTTCTTTTTACTTTTTTTTTTCAGTGCTAGGGCTTGAACCCAGGGTATATGCATGCTAGACAAGTGCTCTTAACACTGAGCTAAACCCCTAGCCTTCTTTTTACTTTTTTAGTGTGGCTACTAGAAATGGGGGATACTGGTGCCAGAATTGGCAAATATATGAATGAAATAAAATACATAATCCCAAACAAACAATCTCATGTATATATGGGTATTTAGGGTATAATAAAGGTGGCATTTCAAATCAGTGGGGAGGAATATGTGGCTACCACTAGAAAATGCAAAATTTTATATGTGCTTCATTCCTGTACCTCACATAATACTTTTATTGAAAATGTGATGCTAGACTTTCTATTTTACCTACCTTCTGAGTATCTAAGATTACAGGTGTGCACACTATGCCCAGCCCCTGCCATTTTTTTAAACTTACCATTAACTCTCTAAAGTTTTCCCATTTCTACTCATAGAGATCTCCTTCATTCATCCTAATAATTGCATATCATTCTATTGTGTGGATGCATCATGATGTTTGGTCTAAAGCTTTATTTCTATTCCTCCACTTGCAAACATTGTTCTCATTTTCCTCTTTATTACCCATTTTCTGTTCTCTCTCCTTCTCTTTCCTCTCACCTTCAAAACTCATAAGCAAGCAAGGCATGGTGGAGCACGCCTGTAATCCCAGTAGCTGGGGAGGCTGAGGCAGAAGGATCATGAGTTCAAAGCCAGCCTCAGGAACTTAGCAAGGCCCTAAGCAACTCAGCCAGACCCTGTGTCTAAAGAAGATATAAAAAAGGGCTGGGCATGTGGCTCAGTGTAAGGGACTGTACATAGGGGTACAATCCCTGATACAGAAAAAGAAAAAAGGAAAAAAAAAACCTCACAAGTATCTGTGAATCAGGGACCAATTCCCTTTTGTTCACTCCTTGCTTCCCCAAGGCTTTGGAATTTCTACTACCTCAGTCTTCCTATAGGAGTGCTTGGGGAAGGGTGCCATGTTGCCATCTAATACTCAATTATAGATCACTATCATAGACGGCCATGTTAGCCCTATCAACAGTAGAGAGATCTACCTACCCAGTGCTATCATTTCTCCCTAGCAGTTTTGCCACATTCATGTTAACATGGGTCTGCTGCTTTTTTTTCTTTTCCTTTTTTTTTTTTTGTGGTGCTGGGGATTGAACACAAAGCCTTGTGCACGTGAGGCAAGCACTCTACCAACTGAGCTATATCCCCAGCCAACACAGGCCTGCTTAGAGAGAGAAAAATAGCTCAGGAAAGTGGGTATGAGTATGTGATTTTTTTTCTTTCTTGGTTCAGGGGTGAGTGGGGGCAGGGTATATGCAATGAGCTTTGGAGAAATGACTTGGTCCAAGTTGGGGAAACCAATTTAATTGCCACCTGCAGTTAAAAATCACTAAGAGGTTCAAGGGTTCTGAAAAAGAAAACTATAGAGGTTGGAGAAAGGAAAAAGAGCTTTCTAGCTTCTGGGAAACAGGTAAAACAAGAGATTTGTTTGCTCTAAGGCAGATGGGAACCTCAGTCCTTAGAGTTTAATTGAGAGAATAAAAAAGACAAGAGGGCTCAGCCAATTGTCAAGTAGATAATAGTTTCTGAAGGGTGGGCCTGGAAGGATTGAGAAATGAAAGCCCTGTTGATGTGCGTAGGGGACAAGTAGTGTGGGAAAATAGCAAATTTTCTTTTACACTCATTCTCAATGCACATGGAATAAATTGTTTCAAATAAAGAAGGGACTTGAATGTCTCTTGGAACTTTTTTTGTTGATTACAAAAACCTGCCCCCTCCTCTCTCCAAAAAAAGAAAGTTTTAAGGATCCAGCAGTTTAAGAAGGAGCAAAAACACTGGACTGGGAGTCAGGGAATGACTGTAGTTCTGAACTTGCAAAATATGACAACAAATAATTTGTATAAAATTCTCTTGGAAACCATAAAGCATGGTTTACTGGGGTTAAGCATGATTAATTGTTATGAAACTCAAGTTTGTCTTTGGCCTTCCCCTCTTCCCCTTTAATTCAGGCCCTCTTCTCTTCTGGTTTCTTGGATTAAAAACTACTGGGTTAAAGGTTTGAAAAGAATCCAATTCAAAGAACATACACTAGTCCCCAGATCACACAGACTGAAGAATATTTCCAGCATCCTAAGTTAATGAAAACTATTATTTTTAAAGTAACATCCTGTTCAATATTTGGAAACAAAGGATTTACCTTTAAGGAGAAATCTGCACTCAATATAAAACCAGAATGCTGTGTAGTTAGCTTTATTTTTCTAAACAAAAGCAAAATTTTTAAATACAAAATGGTTACTTATGATCAAGTCTAAATTGGGTGCAGTAAAGGTAGACGGAACTGTGACCACCCACAGAACAGGCCCAGCGGCCTGCTGAGGGGCAGAGCCGCCCCCCACCCCCCGCACCTGCCAGGTAGGCGGAACTGTGACCACTGACAGAAAAGGCCCAGTGGCCCGCGGAGGGGCAGAGCTGCCAACCACTCCTGCAAGGTAGGCGGGCCTGCGACCCACCGGCAGAACAGGCGCAGCGTCCTGCTGAGAGGCAGAGCCGCCCCCTCCCCCCGCGCCTGCAAGGTAGACGGAAATGTGACCACCAACAGAACAGGCCAGACCTGCAACCGACAGACAGAACAGGCCCAGTGGCCTGAGGAAGGGTAGAGCCGCCCCCCCCCCCCGCGCCTGCAAGGTAGGCGGACCTGCGACCCACCGGCAGAACAGCCCCAGAGGCCTGCAGAGGGGCAGTGCTGCTGCCTGCACCTGCAAAGTAGGCAGAACTGCGACCACCGACAGAACAAGCCTAGCGGCCCGCAGAAGGACAGAGCCGCCGCCCACGCCTGCAAGGTAGGCGGACCTGCTACCGACCGGCAGAGCAGGCCCAGCGGCCTGCCGGCATGGTAGGCACATTGCCCCAATTGGAGGAGGGGCAGAGCCACCGCCCGCGCCTGCGAGGGAGACTTTGCAACTATACAAGACCAATATAAATATATAGGGGGAAAATTCAATAGCACAACAGTTTCACCAAGTAGAAAGGAACGCGAACAGTATGAAGAGACAATGAAAGAAAGGACCACAAGCAATGCAGGTCAACTCAACGTTAGAAGAGGTAATAGCTGCAGCAGACGGAATGTCAGATAAAGAATTCAGGATATACATGCTTCAGATGATCTGGAGTCTCAAGGAAGACATCAGACAGCAAAATCAGACAATGAAAGATCACTTCAACAATGAATTACATAAACAAATCCAAGAAGCAAAAGATCAGCTATACAGGGAGATAGAGGTTATAAAAAAAAAACAAACAGAAATCATAGAAATGCAGGAAGCAATAAACCAACTTAAAAACTCAATTGAGAATACTACCAGCAGAGTAGAACACTTAGAAGACAGAACATCAGACAATGAAGATAAAGTATTTCAACTTGAAAAGAACATAGACAGCTCAGCAAGACTGTTAAGAAACCATGAGCAGAACATCCAAGAAATATGGGATAACATAAAGAGACCAAATTTAAGAGTCATTGGGATACAGGAAGGGACAGAGTTTCAAACCAAAGGAATGAGCAATCTATTCAATGAAATAATACGAGAAAACTTCCCAGACTTGAAGAATGAGACAGAATCCCAAATCCTAGAAGCCTACAGGACGCCGAATGTGCAAAATCATAGGAGACCCACACCTAGACACATTATAATGAAGATGCCCAACATACAGAATAAGGAGAGAATTTTAAAAGCTACAAGAGAAAGGAAGCAGATTACATTTAGGGGTAAGCCAATCAGGATAACAGCTGATCTTTCAACACAGACTCTGAAAGCTAGAAGATCCTGGAATAACATATTTCAAACACTGAAAGAAAATGGGTTCCAGCCAAGAATTGTGTTTCCAGCGAAATTAAGCTTCAGGATGGAAGATGAAATTAAAACCTTCCACGATAAACAAAAGTTTAAAGAATTTGCAGCTAGAAAACCATCTCTTCAAAACATCCTTGGCAAAACATTACAGGAAGAGGAAATGGAAAATAACAAAGAAAACCAACAGTAGGAGGTAGGACAGTAAAGGGGGGAAAAATAATCAAAGAGGAAAACAATCCATGTTTAGTAACATAAATAAACAAATATGGCTGGAAGAACAACCCATATCTCAATAATAACCCTAAATGTTAATGGCTTAAACTCACCAATTAAGAGACACAGGCTAGTAGAATGGATCACAAAACAAGACCCAACAATATGCTGCCTACAGGAGACGCATTTGATAGGAAAAGACATACATAGGCTGAAGGTGAAAGCTTGGGAAAAATCATATCACTCATATGGACTTCGGAAACAAGCAGGTGTGTCCATACTCATATCAAATAAAATAGATTTCAAGCCCAAGTTAATCAAAAGGGATAAAGAGGGACACTACATACTGCTCAAGGGAACCATACACCAACAAGACATAACAATCATAAATATATATGCCCCTAACAATGGTGCAGCTATGTTCATCAAACAAACTCTTCTCAAGTTCAAGAGTCTAATAGACCACCATACAATAATCATGGGAGACTTCAACACACCTCTCTCACCAATGGACAGATCTTCCAAACAAAAGTTGACTAAGGAAACTATAGAACTCAATAACACAATTAATAACCTAGACTTAATTGACATATATAGAATATACTACCCAACATCAAGCAGTTACACTTTTTTCTCAGCAGCACATGGATCCTTCTCAAAAATAGATTACATATTATGTCACAGGGCAACTGTTAGACAATATAAAGGAGTAGAGATAATACCATGCATCTTATCTGATCATAATGGAATGAAACTGAAAATCAATGATAAAAGAAGGAAGGAAAAAGCATACATCACTTGGAGAATGAACAATAGGTTACTGAATGATCAATGGGTTATAGAAGACATCAAGGAGGAAATTAAAAAATTCTTAGAGATAAATGAAAACAAAGACACAACATATCGGAATCTATGGGACACATTGAAAGCAGTTCTAAGAGGAAAATTCATTGCGTGGAGTTCATTCCTTAAAAAAAGAAAAAAACAACAAATAAATGATCTCATACTTCATCTCAAAATCCTAGAAAAAGAAGAGCAAAACAACAGCAAAAGAAGTAGAAGGCAAGAAATAATTAAAATCACAGCTGAAATTAATGAAATCGAAACAAAAGAAACAATTGAAAAAATTGACAAAACTAAAAGTTGGTTCTTTGAAAAAATAAACAAAATCGACAGACCCTTAGCCATGCTAGCAAAGAGAAGAAGAGAGAGAACTCAAATTACTAACATACGGGATGAAAAAGGCAATATCACAACAGACACTTCAGAAATACAGAAGATAATCAAAAATTATTTTGAATCCTTATACTCCAATACATTAGAAGATAGTGAAGGCATAGATAAATTTCTTAAGTCATATGATCTGCCCAGATTGAGTCAGGAGGATATAGACAACCTAAACAGACCAATATCAATTGAGGAAATAGAAGAAACCATCAAAAGACTACCAACTAAGAAAAGCCCAGGACCGGATGGGTATACAGCAGAGTTTTACAAAACCTTTAAAGAGGAACTAATACCAATACTTTTCAAGCTACTTCAGGAAATAGAAAAAGAGGGAGAACTTCCAAATTCATTCTACGAGGCCAACATCACCCTGATACCTAAACCAGACAAAGACACTTCAAAGAAAGAAAACTACAGACCAATATCTCTAATGAACCTAGATGCAAAAATCCTCAATAAAATTCTGGCAAATCGGATACAAAAACATATCAAAAAAATTGTGCACCATGATCAAGTAGGATTCATCCCTGGGATGCAAGGCTGGTTCAATATACGGAAATCAATA